ACTTCATGCGACACACATAATGTTCATACAGTACAAGACAAACATACGAATTAAATTTAATAAGCTTCCCTTACCTGGATCAGAAGTGAACGTCCTAACTCAAGGTGTTTGGTTCGTCCGCTAACAGTTCTCTACTCACACAGGATCACTTAATTCTTCCAACCCGATCTAACCATAAAAACCAAGAAATACTAAGAAAACTCAAACCCGTCATGCAACAAGGATTTGGCTTTGCATGGGACAGAAAACGTTCACGAAGAAGGAGGAACTTACCAGTATCAGAACGGGGGGTTGAGGTGATCGGTCAAAAACGAAGCTCACGGACCACCAGGAAACGTTCCTACGGTCTGAAAACGTGATCGATAAGAAGGTGATGGGTTACAGTAAAGAGAAGGTGAAGGGTTCTAGAGAGAAGTGGAGAAAACGAAAGGTTGGGTTCTGAGGAAGAAGATGAATGGTGCAGGTGAGAGAGAGTTTTCAAAAATTCTAATTGTGTTAAACTCACGTTCGTTCGAACGAACGTCTCCCAAGTTGACACCTGCACACCGAACTCTGAAATGGAAAGCTTCTCCCGCGACCGGTTGCGTGTGTGCATGCAGTGTTTGGTGCGCTTTTAATGTTTCAGAGAAATGATGGGCGTGGCTTTCCGTGTATGCCAGAGAGGGAGGGGATCAGATTAGGTAGCGGGTTTTTAATGGCTGAGAAATGATGTGGCGTGCATTAATGGTGAGGATGTCAGAAATTATCTTTGCTAAATATCAAGGGTCTTACACAATGCATCAAACAATACACAATAAATGAAGTCCTCTAGATTATATAGAGTAGATGAGTTCATTAAACCATTCTAGCGAAACATAGAGTAGATGTGTCTAATACTCATAACTTGTCTTGAAATCTTCTTTTTTCAGTTTTCCAACTCACTTTAATTCTTTTGTAAGTTCATGATCTTATCTTCTCTTAGTTACTAGAATTCACCAAATATCAATCATGCTAGCATCATTTATATTCTACCATTATTTATAGGGTTATTAGAATATTTATCGTTGTATCATCTATAAAGGATTTATAAGCTTGATTACACTTCAGCAACAGCAACACAAAGAACGGGTTATAATGCTTGGGAAACATCTATGCACTTTATTATATTATCAATACTTGGTTCTTGTATAGTACATCAAGTCGTCTAAGGAAATTCCATAGACTAGACTCTCTAATTAGACTTTTTAAGCTAGAGTATCTACTGCATTTCATTTGCCTAAATTATTTACCATCTCACAAGGCTTAAAAAACTAATTTTAGTGAATAGTTTGATTTAAAGCTCATTTTATCATATTTGGATAAATCCTAGTTAAAATAGTGGATTTAGAATCGATTATGATTTAAGAAAGCTAAGATGAGATAATTCAAAAGGGCATAAAAAAAACTCATTAATTAGTAATCATATTAGAATATTATCCTTTCTTTGAAGAACAAAACTTATTATATTTCTTATACAAACCATATAATCCTTGTTTGCTTAGAAAAATAGTGTCTGCATTTGAAAGAATACTTGGTGTATTAGTTGAAAGAAGTTAAGGTCTAAAATACTTGTTTTTTTTTTTCCATAAGATGTTAACGTCTAAATAATACTTTTTTGTTTTTCCATAAGTGGTTGAGGCCTAAAGAATATCTAGTTGTATTTTTCAGCGTATAACTTAATCAAATTGATAAAAAAAAATTGGAGTTAGTATTTAATAACAAATGAACCAATATAAATGTATTAAAAGTATTTTTTTTATCTAACTTTATTTCCTTTCTAAACAAGATAACAAAAAACCTTTTTAATAGTTCATTTGTTAAGTGAAAAATGGAGAGAGACACACTTTTTCTTTTTTTCATGAGACAACAATGGCCACATGATTAATAGAGTTGAGGGTTATTCACTTTGAGTACAATCAGGAATATAAATTTTTCATGGAGTTTTGGAGTAGTCATAAGGTGGGGAGATATTTAGGGAGTCTAGCTCGAGTTGGATTCTATAGTTATGCGAAACTCATTTTGTTCCTTTTCATATGTGTAAAGCCAAACAAATTCATCATAAACTTAGTATTAAGACTTTAGGTAGCTTAGATAAGACATCTAGATGTAAGAAGATAATTTCTTTCTTATAGGACACGACAAGAGAGTATTTCATCTAGGTTTACGGTTGAAAAGGTTGAGGGGGTTGAGGTCATTAAAGAAACTGGTGACTTTGATCAAATCGATTTCTTAGCGGAATAGTTAGAGATCTTAGAAGAGCTCTTGAAAGATTCTTATCCCCTCTAGCTAGATCCTTATCATATTTTGTTGATGGGAAGGATTTACTATTGTAGGAATAAATATTTGCTCTTATGTATTTTGATTTTACTCCTACTCTTTCACTTCGTATATTGATTTTACTCTAACATATTTTAATAAAAAGTTGGGTATTTTGTATGACTATTTAATGGAAACTCATTTAGGGAACTAAATTGATATTTATCCAAGGAGCATAAACTTAAGCTAAGGTTAAGATAGTGGAAGTAGAAGAAGGACTTTCAACCTTATTTTTGCTTTTCTCCAAGCCTTAGAAGACATTGGACCTCTCATGGTCAAGAAGATGGAAAGGGAAGATGGAACTTCAAAAATCTACTCTTGTGGAGGATCACATTTTAGTCTTCTTCTTTTATCTTTAAACACTTTTGTAAATAAGTACATAAGTCTTTGTTTTGGGCCTTTTATTTTGGCCAAGTTATCTTCCTTTTTCTAGATTTGCTTTCACATCACCTATTTTTCGTATTGCAGTTGCACCTAGCTCAGAGGTCCAAATGATAAGTGCTTATAGTCATTTGAAAGCTATTTTAGTCTAGTTTCCAACAAAAAACAAAAATAATCTCATTTGAAACTCTATGGAAAAAGTTATGATTCAAACACTTAGCAACGATACTTGGAGAAACACGATTTAAAAATATGAGTTGTTATATTTAATTAGTTAAATAAAACTCTTAATAGATTATTGTAACAAAATTTTAAAAAATAGTTGCAACATCCTTTTTATATAATTTATTATTATGTATTTTAATTGATTAAACCCATGCCTCAAATGATCAAAACTAATTTAATCAATTACAAAATATTATTAAAACATTTAGAATTTCAAAAACACTTAAAATATTCTCTAAATTAATAAATTATGACATTAAATAATTGATTAGTTTTTTTAAACCTCAAAAACATATTAACCAATTACTGATAAATATAATTGACTAAAAATGCTGAAAAATGTTTTGAGCTTGATTTTAACTTTGGAAAAATATTTTATCTTTTTAATATAGGTTATGTGCTTAATTAAAAATTCTAACGAATATATGTTGTGAAAAACACATTTGTAACAAAGAATTATACTAAGTTCATCATGAACACCTTAAAACATCATCAAAGCATCTTCATTTTCTCTTTGGTCTTTGAAGATTTTCTTCAAGATCAATACATAGCATACAAAGAAAGCTAAATACTAAACACATATATCTTCCTTCTTCAATCATCATTAAAATATCTTCTCTTCAGACTTAAAGACTTCACTTCAAGTCTAATACCATTCTTCAAGCTATTACTCACAAGATGATTTTTACTTCATTGGAGCGAGTCTCTTTGTGCAATTCAAGACTTTAGTTAATATTGCTGAAGTATTCTAAATTTCAGTTAAACAGAATCATTTTCTCATCTAAAAAATAAAAAATAGAATAAAAAAATAGCATGACCAATTAAAGTTAAACCCAAATCTACTTAAAGATAACATAGAGAAAATAATATCAACCTAAACGAACCAAATTAAAATCAATATCAATATTTGATATTTATGAGGATTGAGCAAAGATGTGAACAATTTTTAAAATCCCTCAAATAAACATGATTCCTTTTGTTTTTAAAGGTTCATTTAATTATTGTTACATTACCTTAAATGATCTTTGCCTCTTATTTTCCTTCTTTTTTGTTTATAATTATGACATGTTTCTTATTTTGTTTCTATTTGAGATAACTTATTTAATTTAGTTACGATTAATAATTTGTTTATGTACATTTACTTTTATGCTGATTGTTATATCAATTTAAATTTATTATTTCAAGTAATATAACTATATCAATTTGTTAAAAGTAAAAATAATTAACTTAGATCTAGTTATTTTCAGAACAAATTTTTTCTAATTTATTTACAAAATATTAGTTTTGTATCTTGTGTGGTATGATTGTCCAGTCAACAAAGACCGGTCGGTCTATGTTAGAAAATGCCAATGTGAACGTCTCATCCTCTTTTGCATCACCCACCAAATGATTGATCATGATCTCGAGATGACTGAACGTATTGTCAACAAATTTAATATTAATAATGATCAAGTTTATAGGTAAAGTATGTTTATGAGTTATTGGGTCATAATTAGGTCTATACTAGTTATAAGCCCATATCGAAACTTAGATTAGAGATGATGTTAAGAGCTTCAGGGTTAAATGTAACGTGAAGTGTTTTGATTGTGATAGGAGATCCCATGTCTAAGAATAATGATATTTTGACAACATTTTTTTGACAACATTTTAACACTGTCTACGTGTCATTCTGTGATTGGTCTATATTGATGTTTATGATTATTATTATTGATTGTGGAATAATTTTGGACCAATCACAGAATGATACGTAGACAGTGTTAAAATGTTGTCAAAAAAATGTTGTCAAAGTATCATTATCCCACGTCTAAAACACTTCTACTTAAATTTTATTTTATAATGGAATTCATTTTTATTTTTTATTTCAAAGTTACTTTATATTTTATTTTTTTTTAAATAAAGTCTTCAAAATGTAGTCTAGAAAGTGATTATCTTTTTCTTTTGTTGAAAAGTAAGTCATTATCTCCCTCCTAAAATTATCTTAGCAAGTAAAGTTCCTAAGTTTCTCTTACTTTATCTCACTTGGTCTACGTACCGAGATCTTTTTCCATTTTGATTTAAAATCTTAGTGGAAAAAGAAAGGTTTAGGAAGGTGGAAGAGACTTTCCCTCCTACACTACACACTAGTAAACTCTTAGCTAGTTTTTCTCCACACGTTTCATTCTTCCGTTTGTATTCTATTGTGGCAAATGGCGACGGAAATGGAATCGGCATTGATATTTCTGGGAACGGGAAGTTCGGGATCGGTTCCCTCCATGAGTTGCCTCATTGAACCTTCAGATCCGCCGTGTTCTGTTTGCACTCAATCCCTGTCTCTCCCACCTCAATCCAACCCTAACTACAGGTACCTCACTTCTTCACTCCCAATCTCACACCAACTTTTATGATTACTCTTTTAATCATCTACCATTTTCTTTACACTTCATTCAATCATAGCAAGTTTGTTGACTTTACCGTAAATTCTTAGTTATCTCAACCTTGATTACTGATTGGTAGACCGGGTAGAACTTTTTACTTTAGCAATTCGTAGAAATTAAGCTCAATTCCAGGGACTGAATCGAGCTCTTTCATTGTATGTATTATGGACTTGGCTTTGCAGGTGCAATACTTCTCTGTTAATCAAATATTACTCTCAAACCGATGCCACTCACAAATATATATTGATTGATGCTGGCAAGACCTTCAGGGAGTCTGTACTTAGGTGGTTTGTTTTCCATCGCATTCCCAGAGTAGATTCTGTCAGTCGCTCAACTTCCCTTCTTTGTTTACTGTGCTTGTTTTTGGTTAAACTTTTTAAATTTTAGATTCAATATGAATCTAACTTTGTATGTGTTCAGTCAGGTGTCTTATTTTGTTCCAGATGGAGCTTTTTTTGGTGATTGTTCCCTAGTGTAATACATTAGTTAACTCTTGCTTGAATTGCAGATTCTTTTGACTCATGACCATGCTGATGCAATCCTTGGATTGGATGATATTCGTGCTGTGCAGCCATTTAGTCCCACAAATGATATTGATCCCACCCCAGTTTACTTAACTCAACGCTCAATGGAGAGGTAAACTAGAACTTTCTCTTTGATGTATATTAGAATAAAATATAATTACATATAATATATAATCAGTTATATAGTTTCCATATATTTTATATATTATATATAATGAGTTATTTCGTTTCTAGATATTATAGATAATCAGTTATTTTGTTTCTTTTTTCTATTCAGTCTATTAGTATGTTTGTTATTATATATAGATTTCACTTTTTCTACCTTTCTTTCAATAATAATATGGTATCAATAGTGTTAATTCCGCATTTATTCGCAAAATTTTTTTTCGTTTTTCCCCATGGATACCATGGGTGAATCTAATATTCTTTGCATTCACACTTCCGATAATCTCGGCTTATAATATAATCTCGAGGGGTCAATGTAATTTTGAGTTTTTTTAATTTTTTAATTTTTTTTTTTGTAGTTAACCATGGGAAAAAAAATTATCCATATAATGAGTTAAAGGCAATATTAGTGGGAGTTAATTACTAATGGATATTAAAGATGAGAAATAAAGATCCATGTCAATCTCATCTTTTTATGCGAAGTTAGGATCAATTTGGGAATCTTTGATTCAACTAAAGCCTACCCATACATGTACCTGCAACGACATCCAACCATGGTGTGACTATGATCAAGTGGAGTATGTTATGCACTTTCTCGTGGGTCTTAATGAAGCTTATTCTTCGATCAGAGGTCAACTTCTTTCAATGGATCATTTTCCCCCTATCACCAAGACATTTTCTTTTGTTATTCAAGAAGAGAAGCAGAAGGACATTCGTAGTCAGCCAAAAGTGAATCTTCCCATGCTTTCGCAGTCAAGAATTGTTTTGATTTTATGAACAAGAGGGGTAGACCTGTGTGTGCTCACTGAGGAATCACCAGTGATAGCAAAAATCAATGCTATAGGTTGGTTGGTTATCCACCCAACTACAAAAGTTAGCATTGGTTTATCATGCTTCTAGTCAGACGGTCTCTCAGGACACTAGAAAGGATTTTTCCTCTTTTCAACTTACATCACAACAATATCAACAATTGTTGAATCTCCTCTAGGGTCAAACACCAAATCTCACACAGTTACTCATAGTGGTATGATTATATCTACTCTAGAGGCTAAACCTTTTTCTAGTCGTTGGATTTTTTATGACATTTGTTTAGGTGTTAGTACTTATGTAAATCATTCTGTTATATTTTCAATCTTACACATGTCAGTGACATAACCTTATGTTCTCCAATCAATTTTTTATTCCTATAGTAGCTATCGGCACTGTTTAACTTTCTCGTACGTTGATGTCTCTTTAAGAGAAAATATACTTTATCTTTGCTTGATGAGATTGGTTTTCTAGGCAGCAAACCAACTACACTACCTGTGGGTCCTAACTTAAAACTTAGTTTCAATAATGGTGACACTGTTGTAGATCCCTTTGTGTATGGAAGATTAATTGGACACTTATGTATTTGACCATCTTCAGACCAAACATTACTTTTGGTAGGTCATAAGCTTAGTCAGGACATGCAAAATCCATTAACCACACATTTAGCTTTAGTCCATCACCTGTTACAGGACTTGAAGTCCACTTTAGGTCAAGGTCTCTTTTTCTTGACTATCAACAAATTTCATGTTTCAGCATATGCTAATGCAGACTGAGGCAGATATTTAGATACTAGAAAATCAACTACTGGATTTTATGTTTTTTGATGATTCTCTAATTTTCCGCAAGTCAATCAAATAAAGTATACTGTTCAAGTCTTTAGTAGAATCGAAATATTTTGCTTTATTTTCAGTAGCTAGTGAAGTATTTTGGCTACAAAGATTACTCAAATCTGTTACACACCTTGTTTCTAATCCTTCTCACCATGAGAGGTCTAAACATATAGATATTGATTATCAATTCATTCGTAAAGTTGTTCAAAAGCAGCTCTTGACTCTCATTCATGTCAGAAGCTGGCTATTAATAGCCGATATGTTCACAAAAGTCGTTCTTGCTATTGCCTTCTGTTAGGTTTCTGAGTAGGAAACCTAATTAACCACGATCACAGTAGGCAGAAAAGATAATGAAAGAATGAATTTCTCTTATTAATGGTAATAGAATTCTCTAAACAAGGATAGTTGGGAGCATAACCTCCCTCACAGGATTGTAGCCGCCTGTTAACAACCTCAATAATCAAAAGCATAACCCTAACAATAGAGTCTAGCTCTATTTATATTAAATATTTCCCGCCCATCTTATACTGAATATTTTCCTAGAATATAGCTCTATTTACTATAAATATCTTATACTGAATATTTCCCTATAATATAACTCTATTTACTATAAATATCTTATATTGAATATTTCCCTATAATATAGCTCTATTTACTATAAATATTTCCCGCCCATCCTAACTACTACAACAGTTAGGATAGTAACTCTTCAATCAATCGGCTCCAGTTCTTCACCTCTTTTCACCGTTCTGCTCGAGCCCTCACCGCCTTCAGCCGTTTGGCTTGACCTCTCCCCGCCTTCCACCGTTCGGTGCCCTTCTTCTTCTCTCATATACTTTCTTCTTCTCTCGTATACCTTCCAACCCCTAACATTATCTATTACCTTATATCCTATCACCTTCAATCATTTCATTGCAAGTTTGGAACCATCAACATTTATTCTCCAAATTGAGGGGGATACTAGACTAAAATATAATTAGATATTGTAGTATATATAATCAAATATTTAGTTTTTAGGTATTATAAATATTGTATATAATCAGATATTTAGTTTCTAGATATTATATATAATCCATTATTTTGTTTCCTTTTCTGTTTAGCTTGTTAGTATGTTTTCTATTGTATATAACTTTTACTTTTCTGTAAATGATAAATTTGATTCAATGAATTATTTTATACCTTTCTCTTTTTAATAATGTGAGTTGGTCAAATATCCTAGGTTTGTGAGAAAATTGGCTTACTAAAATCCCAAGTGGAAACATTGGTGCCATGAAATTATATTTTGCTTTACTATGAGAATGTATGAGCTTTAAGGAAGCACTCACATCAGATGAGCTTTTAGTTTTGTTACAGGATATTGATAAACACAGTTTTTGCTTTGAAAATATTTCTGATTGCAGTACAAATCTTATGTCAGCATTATTCCCCTTTCACTTGATTTTATGGATGCATTTTCTTCTAGATAGTTGATTTCTTTTTTGCACATTTGCAACAGAATGGAAACGGTCTTTCCTTATTTGGTTAAGAAAAAACAGAAAGAAGGGCAAGAAATCAGAAGGGTGGCCCAGTTTTGCTGGAACATAGTTGCTGAAGATTGTAACCAACCTTTTTTTGCATCAGGCTTAAAATTGATTCCTTTGCCAGTTAATCACAGCGAACTTTGTCATTGATGATAGGAATGCAATACCACTTTTTCATTACATGAACTTATGAACCACATTTCTGGATTTAGGTAATGCATGGAGAGGATTATATCTGTCTGGGTTTCCTTTTTGGTAATAAAGATAGGGTGGCTTATCTTTCTGATGTTTCACGGATTCCAGCTAGTACAGAGTATGGTGAGTTTTGATGCCATTTCTTCCCCGCTTGGTCATATGTACTACTTCATTAGTGCTATCTCTCCTAAACATCACTTGGTATATAGGTCATTATATACTATTACATTTTCTCGTCCCACTTTTTCACTAAAAACAAAAATAAAATCATTTCTTCTTTTCTTCCCTTTGACCAAACTTTAAATTTGGATCATTCATGTGCAATAGGATGAGTTATTATCTGTCTGTTAATTAGTTTGAAATGAGAAGCTAAGAACATTTCCAACTGTCCTTTAAAGGCTACTTAGAAATACCTTAATTTGTATTCTTTTATGATGATTATGGCCCTGCTATTCATTGATAAGGAAGCTTCTGCTCTCCATTGGGGAACTTAATGTTCTCTGTATCACCAACTACTTCTACCTTCTATACTCAATGTTCTCCATTAGAGGGAAAGTCTATATTAATGACAAAGTTAAAGAAAATACCAAACAACTAGTGTAAAGAAAGTATTTCAATATGATTTAGATCTCATCAAAGATCAGCTAGAATTAAGCTTCCAGACCTAAAATATTAACCTCGATGTCTTTATGATGATATATCATCCAGAAGAAGCAATAAGTTCATGAATTTGTTGTCTTGTCTCTTCATTGGAACAATAGGTAGGCAACTGGCACATCTATAAGCTTTTGAAGCATTAATACATCAGTATAAAACTATGCAGATGTATGCTTTCTGACAGCAAAATGTCATTTTTCTACAGTCATTTCAAAAAATGGGGCTGGGCAGTTGGATCTTCTTATTTTGGATTCATTGAAAAAGGTCAGTGCTGGCGTTTTAAATTGTTGATCTCTCAGTCTGTCTGTGTTTGTATTGTAAACATTGTTCTACAAAGTTTTAGCTGTCTTTTCTCCCAGAGTAAACTTTTCCATTGATTTTCTAATATAAGACAAGGAAAACATCTTATTCATTAGTATATAATAACTTGATCTATGAAGAACATTAATATATTACTAAACCCATATTTACTGGACTAAATGCATTGAAATTTGTAGACTTGTCATTTTAATCCTAAGCCCCTAGGCTAGCCCTGGCCTTTTCCAAAGCTAGGCCCTATTTTTGTGACCAACACATTAGGGGGCTTTTCCAAAGCCCCTGACCCCTAGAGCCCCCATGAAGTGGGTTGAGATAGAAGTAGGGCTGGGTTAACTCTCGTGGCCCCAAATGAAAAAATTTCCTTCTCACGGCAGAACTCTACAAGCGGTACTATGTCATCTCTAACACCCATTTCACTTCTGCATATTCTATTCTTGCTTTTGGATCTCATCTATGCAGCTTGTCATTTTTCTTTATTTTATTTTTTTATTTTTCTTTATTTTATTTTGTTGTGTCATATGATTTGGGTGAGTTTGTTTAAGTTTATTTTTAATCAGATTTTTATCTTTTTATCTGTTTCTCTGAATTGCTTATTTTAAAAGCAAATAATTTTCTACTTTTCTAAATAAGTACATAATTGCTTGTTTAAGAAATGCTTAACATAAGTTTGTATTTACTTCTTTTGATTAACAAAAGAAATAAGATATCTGCTAAGTGGATTTGAAATTTTGAAGTAGCTGAATTCATGCTTATAGCTGTTTGTTTACTAATTGCATGGCTCTATATTACTATTATTATAGACGAAATTTCCTCAGTCTTTTACATTGTGAGTGCAATTGCCACTGAAACTGTGGTTTTTACCATTGTTTAAAACCATGAGAAATTGTATTGATCCTGTTTTGACCTACTGGACTTTATTTGTTCCAATTTCTGGTTAACTGTGAGATATGTATCAAACTTCTATCTGTATTTGGTTTAAATGGATTTAGGCTTGTTTCATGAAGCTCTATCAAATCATATTGTATTGTGTGGAATTTAGGAAATTTCTTAACACCAATTATAACAACTTGCTGCCACATTTTTGCCTTTTAATGTTGATCTAGTTAGGTTCTTAACAGAGACGCATTAATATTATATTTCACCATCCCAAGCTTTTTGGTAATTACCAGGTCCTATATATTATTCTATAAATTCTTTAAAATGTACTACAATACCACCTTTCCATTTCCACATAGCCAGTTTAATATTTTTAACTGTTAAAAAACAGTATGGTTTAGTGTTTTAAAAAGTAAATAGAAAATAAAATGATTTTTTTGTGAGGTAAACCAATATGTAATGTGTAGTAGATCAGCACAACACAAGTGATCAAGAGTTAAAATTTTGGTTGGGTGAGGTAAGTGAAGAAAGGATAAGAAGAGAGGGATATGTGTTGGTAAATTGGGGGTCTAAAACTGAATAAACATGATAGAGTCATGTTTATGTAACTTGAGATTAAAACTGATAAAATATATTCTTGAGGGCTTAACAGATCCCTCTCATTATCTTCTATATATATTGAAAACACAAGAGTACATGGAACATCAAGAGTCTGCACTAGACCTCTAGGTACAGAACTAGGTACGACTCATTAATGGTCTAGCAGACAAGCCTTAATGATGATATATAATAGTAATTATTATAACATTCTCCCTCA